ATGGGTGAGTGGGGTGCACACGCTAGTACGGGGTGCTTGGAAACACTTGGACCTGATTAGGACAATCTAATAAAGCCAGACTGTTCACATAGAAATAGCTCCTGCCAATATTGTGAAGTAGTTTAATAGGCAAGCCACTTCAGGATATTGGAAAATTAATCATTCCCTTCGCTTGGCAGAGGGCAGAGAAATGAAAGAGAAATCCCTCCCACTGTATATAGATCATGCTGATACTGCGCATCAGTTATGTATTAAAAAAACCCCTTTCTTTGCCTTCTCTAAAGGACTAGTGAAAACCACCATCATGATTTTGACTGTGGGTGGTTTTTGAAGCAGCTCTTTCAGGTGAGGCAAAGAAAAGTTTTACAATTAATGTTGCACATCAGCAATCTATATACAATAATATATACAATTTATATACAATTGAAAACAATATTTCCCCCCACTTCACCTGCCCTCTGCCAAGCAGGGGAAGTGATTCATTTGCCAATATCCTGAACTGCCTTGCTTATTAAACCACTACACAATATTGGTAAAGAGGAAGGCTTGCTTTGGATCAGTTCCACTTGTCACATGCACTGGAATGGATCCAATCCAGAGAGATCCTACCTGCACCAGAAAACTGGAAGCCCATTTACAGGGGTCAGGAAGGTGTGGGTAGAAATGTTCTGGGGGTGGGTGGGCTGGTGTGCTCTAGTAAAGACACCAACTGATTGCCCATTCCTGCAGCACTCCATAAAGCCTGTGTAGTCAGCCTCTCAATTTCAGAATGGGAGCTGCAAACTCAAATCAAGAACATAGGTTTCAAATTCCACCACTGGTGGTGTCGATTAGAATATCTTCCCTCGTTTTATTATACAAAGACCTAATGTAGCTTGTTCTGTGTGTTGTATCATGCTAAAACATAAGTGCTCTATACAAGTTACTGTCTACCTCCTTACTTTTTTTTCCAAAAAAGATCAATAGGTTTTTATAGTATTTGAATTTTGAATTTTTTTAATGTTCCTCTTTGGTACAAGCTTGCAAAAACACTTTTTGGTCAATACTTGGTCTTCGTTGAAGTAAAGGAAATAAACAGGATAAACTGATCTCAAGATCCTTATGCATAAATAAGATTCTTTTCCTGGACTTTAAATAGATAAACTATGTGGAGTAAATTGCAATCAGACAGATTCATTCACTAGTATTCCCTTGTAATGCAAAATGTATGAGTTCCTTGAAATTTTGTTTGCTTTCATCCATGCAGAAAAATCCACCAAACTGACAAAAAAAAAACTGCTTGAAATGCATTTATATTTTAAGAATGTTGCTTCCAATATGCAGTACTGCACAAATAACAACATAATTAAAATGCAGAAATCAAGAAGACACCAGCTGACGTCTGTTGAGAAGTTTATGCAGTACAATCAAGTTCTGCTCACTATCAGCTGATATGTGTCTTGATTATTCATTGTTTTGCTTAACCTGCAATAGTTTTCAAAAAGGTTAATCTCTATCTTATTTGAAATCTCAGAAAGAAAGTTTAAGAAGGAAAAAATTACTATGAGAGAGTGGTCAGTGAAGTGCAGCACTAAAGTTGTTTCTTTGGCCCTGGAATCAACTGCCTCCGCCCCAATTAAAAATGGATTTTGTATAGCTAAAGAAGCAGTCTCTTGCTTTTCAAATACACTGCAACTTCCCCATAATGGTCAATACCCCCATCACAAAATATTTGTGGACTTTTAGACACTTCTGGCTTTGTCTGAATTTTTTTTTTGGCCTTTTGAAGGGACTATGTGTCCCCCAGAGGATCTACTGGAGTTCTCTACCCCCATTTCTGAGAGTGTAGGTGCAACCATACAGCAGAAAAATGTGGAAAGATCTGCTGTGAAGTTGCACCTGGGAATTCAGGTTTTCCTGCATTAATTAGCTTCAGCCAACCACAAAGAAGTCAGCAGAGAGAGAGGTGGAAATAGCCTTGTTTGCAGCTTAAGAGTTTGAAACTTCTCCTCATACCTGGTGCCTGGGTCTGCTTGTTTTCCCCTTCCCATCTCTTCTGTTCCCTTCCCTCCAAAGAGTCGGCATAAGTTGGAAGTGACTTGACAACACAGTTATTATTAGTAGTATTATTTCTGCTTTACTCTTGTTCTTTTGAATAATGTCTGAAATTGCAGTGAAATTGACTCACTCTCACAAAACAGCATACAATCCCCATTGACTTGAACTGGACCCCACCCCTGCAAAATCCACATGAGCATTGTCACCTTACAGATAAATGTATAAACTTTAAAAACTAGGGAAAATGGACAAATATTGTATTTGAAAGAGTGGAACCCTCACTGAGATGTCATAAGCGAGCACAAAAATGCAGTACTCAATGAGAGGAATATGTTGCTTTCTTGTTACAGTACTAAGCTTGCTTTCAGCAATTGAATATATAGTATTTGAATTTTCGCTGTAGATGCAGAGCAGTATATACCAACCTCTGCTTAAGGAATTTTGCAACAGTTTTGAAATTATATATGCCTTTCTGTAACCACCAAACCCACTCTAATATAGAACATTCTTTTTGCTTCCTAAAGGAAAATGGGGTGAATCTAAAGGTGTTTGTCAAAAATGTAAGGTGTCATAAGGTGTTTCAGCATACAGTAAGTCTGAACATGCAAAAATATTCTTAGACATCTTAAATCTGGAGACAGAATGTATGTCAGAGATCATGTTTTTAGGTAGGTTTAAAAGAACTGTCCATTCGTTCACAGACAAGCTTTATGTTTGTTTTTTGTTAGCATTGACTCAATTGGTACCAACTGTGAAATTGTGAAGAACAAGAGAGCAAGCATCTCAGTTAAAAAAACTGCAGGAGGGAGAGCAAATTCAGGCTTGAAGTTAGTTAATCACACAACTGCCTATATTTGCTGAATGCAAAATCAAATCTGGTTCTCCGAACTATCGAACAACTTGAACTCTCAATCAACTTGCAGACTGTCAAATTACAATCAATAGAACTGGAAAAATAAAAGTATCTGTACCAGCTGCCAGACTGGCCTATTTTGACTTCTGAGTTGGTCCTGTCTTATACATGGACCTGTGTGTGCGTGTGCAGGGGGTGTATAACAATTATACAGAGGTTAAGTCATATTGCTGGCTGGAAGCTGGAAATTTTTAATTTCTTTAATTGCTTTTGTGATGAGCTAACATATCACACCTGTGAACTGCAGGGTAACACTACAGTTCAATTACCCCTCTCTGTTATGTTACCACTCTCAGAATTTTTGAACTGGATAGCAACGATCACTGCCCACATGCCCAGCAGTGGTCTCCAGGGTCTCAGGTGCTGGCCTTTGACATCACCTGATACCTTTGTAAACTTCCAACACCGGGGATCAAACGTATTTCTTTTTGCAAAGCATGTGCTCTGCCCCAAACCGCCACCTTTCCACAAGCTGCATGATAGAAGGCTTACGTACTGGGAGGTATTGTAAGAAAACAAGATGGTCAAACTGGTTGCCATTCACGCCTCCACATAAAAATGATTTTGATCTGGCAGTGCTCTTGAGATTTGTGAGCCTCAGACAGGACTGCATCATATTGCCTTTCCTTGACATTTGAATTGAATAATACTCTCTAGTTCAGGAAGAGGCCATCACTTGCAGAGGTCTCTCATCCTTCTGAGGTCAGTAAATTGAGTATACAGCTCATTGGCTGTCAGTGTGCAGCTTGCTTAATTAAATTGTAAGCCACCCAGAAAGTACTTTAAGCACGATGGGGCAATATATAAGCAGCACACTTTGCTATAGTCAGAACACAAACCTGGCATGGAAGAGATCCCAGTTTAATCCCGAGGTCTTCACTATATCTAGGAAGGAGTCACCTCTGAGTCCCTGAAAAGCCACTACCAATTTATGCAGACAATACTGGTGTAGCTGACCAATGATATATGGTACAATGCAGTTTCTTATTGATTTCTGAATTTGTTTGAACAACCTAGCTCTCTATTTGCTTATAAAATAATAGAACCAAACTGGTAAGTTGTCAGTACTATACCAAGGGTAACAATGAGAGGACAAGAGTCCTAAAGATTGAACAGATAACCATCTTTTATTTTTTTTTTCTTAAAATTGGTATGGTATTAGTTTCTTTCTACATTTTTTTCCAGAGCTCTGTACAGTTCTCAAAAAGAAATAAGCAATGTCCAAGGTACAAAGTAAAAAACAGTAAACTAGAAAAATCTGAATAAAATGGAGCAAATTGCTGGCAAAGATACAGTACAAATTAGTAATTAGACATCTGAAGTGCAATACCACTGCAGTGAGGATGAGTTAAAGAATGAAATAAAAATACTCTATTTTAAACAAACATTCTGTACAGTTCTCAAAAAGAAATAAGCAATGTCCAAGGTACAAAGTAAAAAACAGTAAACTAGAAAAATCTGAATAAAATGGAGCAAATTGCTGGCAAAGATACAGTACAAATTAGTAATTAGACATCTGAAGTGCAATACCACTGCAGTGAGGATGAGTTAAAGAATGAAATAAAAATACTCTATTTTAAACAAACATTATATATATATTTATATTTATATATATTTATATAATTATATTTATTTTATGTATATATTTTACAGATTAGACCCAGTGATGTTTGCAAGACTGTAAAAACATATTTACAGAATTATTTTTTATACATTTCATACACATCAGCACCACAGTAAAAAAAACCCCAACATAATAAATTTAATTTTTTTAAAGTATCGCTTGGTCCCAGTTTAAAATATTTGGAGGGAAGCTTTACAAATATAATGGATTCTGAGACCTCATCACAGGCCTGTATATTTCTGACAAAGAGGGACATTACATTTTATTACTTATTAGATCTTGTGCAGTTCAAAGCCCCAGTGTCTTAATACCGCAGTTCTGTGCACAGTTACTTTAAAGCAATTCCCCCTGCACACAGCAAGACCACCTTCAGGGTAAACAAACATAGGGTTGCACTGAAAGTCTTTCTCTTGCTACCCTTTCCAGGACAGAGTGATTCAGTCTGCGACAGCTGATGAAACCAAGTCCACTTGGCTCCTGTCTAATGCTTTTACATGACGAAGGAAACGTTTATTCTTCTCTAATTTCCAGCTGATCCCTACGATGTACAAAGCCCTATTCTTTGTTCCCCAGTACTACAAGGTATAATGATACCCAATCATGCTCAGAATATTCACAGCCTTAAACCTCATTTGGATCCTCAGCACACAACTCTCCTTCTGTTGGTGCTAAGATGAAGGTTGACTCTGGCCCACAACATACCATTAATTGCTTCACTCCGTGCCAGCACCACTGCTGTGCGACTGCACTGGTCAATCCATATTTCAGCAAAAGCAGGATGTCACAATAAAGAAATTATATTTTTCTTCTTCCTGTATCTCTCATAAGAGTCAACAAAATATTTCTTGTTGATTTTAGTGGAGCATATGTTTGACTGCTATGTTAAAATGTTAAAACCTTGTGCCACAGTGTAAATAAAATATCTGAGGGCCTAACAATATATTACACATAAAACGTGATTCTCTCCGCACATCTATGTTCAAGGAAGGCTGCTTCCTTGGTAATGTTTAGATGGATATGAAAGCAATTAAACCTCTTTCTGCCTGCTTCTTCTTCCCTTTCTTTAGAAGCACTGCTTCAAGTTACTTTTCTCTCAATAACACTGTGCTAGGAAGAGGTGTAGGAAAGCAGCTGGGAAGGTACTGCAAAGGAGAGAACTGACAGGGAAAGACTAAAGAACCGTATAATTCTGCTACTTCTCCATTCAGAGATGTTCTCTCTGTAAGTTATTTTGCCTAAAGGAAAAAAGGTACCACAGCTGTTTAGTGACATGTTTGCATGTAACATAAAATCTGGCCCAAAAGCACTATGGCAGTAGGCCCAATTGATACCAAGCCTGTACTCAAGACACAGCCAAACTGTCTAACACTGAGTTCCCACCAACATCAGTGACTTCACACTTAAAACCTGTAAAGGCCTAATCAAAACACTACGAGTCAATCCTAGCCACACAAAATAGTGGTGTATACAGTTCTTTTGAAAATGACCTTTGGAATGCGCAAAGGTTTTATGTACAACTACTGTCAGATGTTACTTCAACAGAAGGGCTGTCCTTCCTTACTTTATTTCTCATTGACTAGTGGAGGCATCATAACAAAGCTGGTATTAGCATGTACAAAGTAGAAACAGTGAAAAAAATGTGGTTTTGGAGAATGTTAGGCATAAGCTTACTTCCAGATTGCCAAGAGATACAGTACAGTATGTTGACACTCATGCCCAAGTAACTGATGTACAATTAGTTATTGGCTTCTCCAGTTGTGCCCTTTGCACCATTTCCTCCTTGAGTCGCGAGACATCCCAGTTGAACAGCGATGGCTTAGAACATCAAGTCCCCCTCATGTACAATGCAGCCCCACATAAGTAAAACCTATTCATCTTGCATTTCCAGGAAAAGAACAAGCGACATGGCAACACTTACAAGTTCTTAGAGGTGTCTTTCCCCTTCTCAATTCGTTTTGTTTTGCATTCCATACTGCACAAGCTTTAGCCAGTTCTAGCGCTGTGTATATTTCCTTGTCTATAATCACAAAGCACTTGGTCATAGAGGAAAACAACAGCAGAGGGATGGCAAACCATCCAGTTGAGGGTTTTTGGTGCACCTAGAGATTTAATACCACGCTAAATGAACCCATTGGGCATGTCTAGTCACCACAATCAAGCAGTTTTGGCTTGACTCCCCGTAGAACTGGATACAGAAGCACACAGAGAGACTTGGTATTTCATGAAACCCAAAGTCTTAGCACCTGGTCTGACCTGTGCTTGTGCGTGTGTGTGTATGTGGCTTGCTCACTCTTATTTAACAATTCCTGTGCATTGACCCAGCAACCTCCTCTTCTGTGTCCTGAAAGCTTCCAATGGAATTGAATGAGGAACTTCACTGCCAAGGGACTTTGCCATACAGGCAGTGCTTTACCACATGAAGCCCACTTAGCCCTTCCTGTGGGCCCTCAAATGGAAAGTAGCAGTTGTGGGGAAGGGGCCTCTCTCTTTTTCCCCTCATTCCCACCTGCAGGAAAATCTGCTTTGGTGTGGTGCCTGCTGCGGAGATGCTGAAAAGGCCTTCTTCTTGACACTTTGTATCTCATTGATGTCTTCCACTATCGGCCACAGATCCGCTTGCTTTGCACAGTGTAAAAACGACATAAGGAAATAAGGATGGCCAACATCCTGCTTTCCTTTTTTCCCCTTTTGACCCCACAAAGGTTTGGAATTGTCCACACCTCCATGTGCTATGGATTTCCAAACAACTCATCGAGTTCTTGCATCCACTCATCTCCTGGCCCACCTTTAATGATGGAATCTACAAGGTCTGTGCTTTCTGATATATTTGGAAAGGAACCTCCAGCTCCTTCAGTGCTATAACTGTATGATAGGTCCTGGGTGGGGTTCCTCTCATAAATCTGACCTTGATTGCTCTGGCTGAAGTTGCCCCCTGGTATCTGTTGTACAGGGGATTGGTTAAAACCAGTCAGAGTGGGCACTGCCTGACTCATTGGAGGCATAACCATGGTTCTGGCTTGATTGTTGGTTCCCTGCTGTCCAGGGAGTGGTTGCAACATTTGTCTTCCTATTGCTGGGTTAAGGGTCCGTACTGTTCCGCTTGCATCCATGACGGATGGGCTAATGCCTTGTGGAAAATGTTGCTTGGGCAGCCTTGGCTGACCCGATGGCATAGGGTAAGCAGCACCATTACTGAAAGGTCCCATTTCACTGCTAGTCCTTCCAGATATACCTTGTAACCCCCGTGCTTGCCAGTTCTGCGCTCCTTGTGGTATAGATCCCATCATGTTTTGAAGTCTGGGAGTTTGTGGTCTGGGATGAACCTGGCCCACAGGTCCTTTCATCTGCTGGTGTTGTTGAGATATGGCAGAGTTCACCAACATGTTTGGACCAAAATTGCTAACCATGCCAACCCCTTGTGTGGAGGTAGGCTGCCTCGGCCCCTGATTTGGATTATGGGTCAGACTCATGCTACTTTGGTTTGGGTGCTGCAACATTTGGCTCATTCCTGGGGTCATATTGTACATTCCTGGCTGGCTAGTTGCTGGGTTACTGTAGGGAGCCATCCCCATTTCTGACTGGCCGGCTGCAGCAGACATTGCCCCAGTGCTTGGGGACGACCCCATGGTGATCATGCTGGTGTTCTGGGACATCATTCGGGACGTCCTCATGCTCTGAAGAGCTGCCTGACTTCTTGCTGCTGCTAAGTCCTGTGGAGAACCTGAAGCGGAAGAAGGAGACTATATTATTAAATGGATTGATTTCACCCTAATGCAGAAATGTACAGAATGTTTTCTGCTTAGTTTACTGATTTTTATTTCAGTGTTATTACTTTCAGCTGCCCAGAGTACCATTTTGTGGGATCTAATTTTAATAAATAAATATATTGGGCAAAAGAATGAATTATATTTGCATGATACCATCTATTCATCAAATGTTCTGGTCATTTCAGCTGTAATCCAACATCTTAATTTCTCTTGCACATATACTCTTTCCAGCTCTGACATACAAGCTATATACAAACCACATCCATTTTGAAGATGCAAATATCAGTCCTGTCCTAAATAAGCATCACTGCTGTTCAGTTTGTAAGATAGAATATTTGCTCTGTAGATAACATGAGAACTATGACAAGTAGATTAATCTCCTATAAGAACCAAATATGGCTTAAAAGCACAATACAGTAGGAACCTCATATCCACAAAATCAAGATCTGCGGTTTCACTTATCCACAGTTTGTCGCAGCCCTATATGCAACATAAAGGATTCCCCTTTGTAGCCTTTGTTCCAACCTCTTATATGTTGCATATAAGGTTCCCTCCTATCCTTGGTTTCAGGCATCCTTGGTAGATCATGGAACTGATCCCCCAAAGGTATGGGGGGGTCCCTACTGTACTTTATTCTATTTTTTTAAAAAAAACTATTACTAACAATTTTTGAATATGCAAAGCAACACAGAAGTTCATTTGATTTTCTACAGCATATTACACCCAGCATAAACCAACCCAACACGTTTGGCCATATTGTGGAATCTGAAGTTTTCAAAGCAGTATACAATTACACAATGACTCATCATTGCTCAGTTAATGTGGTGCAAGATACGTTAACTTGATATCTTTCTCTCTATCTTCTATCACTCTATGACTCCCCTAGGTTTAGTATCATTCCAGAAAATATCCCTAAGCGATATTCAAATTATAGGGAAATATGGATTCTAGCCTAAATGGGGATTCCAAGCCCAGTTCCAGGCAAGGCTTGCTAAATTCCCAAACATACATATCAGGGAACAAATCTCTTCTGACTATACATGCACAGAATTTGTTTGTTTGCTTGCTTGGGTTTCTTTTTTATAGACCACCTTTTTTCTGATAAGGGGACTCAATTACAGCATTAGTTCATGTAAATGCATTTACTCCAGGATGCTGATCTAACAAATTACGAATCTTGACAGATTAAGGTGGCATCTCTTCTTATCCTTACTCTGGGCCAGTGGGATGAATGCCAGGGAGATGCTTGACTGCATATACCATAGCTTAATGAAACAGAAACTTGCACTGCATTGCTCTTAGGGATTTAATCCTGTATTTTCACAAGGTGCTGAAGTGTCTATACAGCGGCACACATATCAGAATAACGGCTGTTTCCTAAGCATTGTTTGGCTGCGTTATCATTTTGCTGATGGAGCGCTTGCTTGTTTGCCTGAAGAGGGAAACCAATGAACCTAAGGGTGAACCTAACATTTCACTAGCTGAAACAAAAACATCTGGAACAATGGAGAACAGAGATGAGTGCAGCTGAAATTCAGCAGCCACAGCTGTGTCCTGAGGGGCCTTTGCTATGCTCCTGTAAAGCCACTTCTTGAACAACATCAGACCCTAGAAAGCTTCCTCATAAAGAGTCAAAGAATTGCTCCCTGTTCAGATTGGTATTTTTTACTTTGATAGGGAGTTACTCTTCAGGGTTTTAGACTGTGACTTTTCTCAATCCTGCCAGCACATGTCAGAGAGTATATATACGATCTGCTGCATTCAGAGTTTTCTAATCACAGAGGTGTACTAACAATATGGTCAAACTCCATCTTCTGCATAATGTTAGCATACATACAGTGACATTGCTCACTTGCCTGTATGTTGTAGACTTTCAAAAGTTAACCCAGGCTTATCACTCAAAAATAACCATAAGCAGTGGTTCTCAATCTTGGGTCCCCAGATGTTCTTGGACTGCAACTCCCAGAGGCCTTCACCTCTAGCTGTGCTGGCCACTGCTGGCCAGGATTTCTGGAAGTTGTAGTCCAAGAACACCTGGGGGGCCCTGCTTTAAAGGGTTTGACTCAAGCCATTAAATATACTAGACAAGGGGTTAAAGAATTAAACAAATTATATTCTCTTTGTATCCTCGAAGGCTTTAACAGCTGGGATCTGATGGTTGTTGTAGGTTTTTCGGGCTGTCTGGCCATGTTCTTGAGGTTCAAGAGCACAGCCAGACAGCCCGAAAAACCTACAACAACTATATTGTCTATTGCAAAGTAACAACTTATAGGGAAACAGATTTCAACATCAGTTTTTCTTCAGTGACAGCCCAACTGTCCAAAACACAACCTCCACCTTCCATTACATTCCAACTTCTCTTTCCATTTAGGCTCTCCCCAGGCCCCTCTGCCTTCAGGCTCTCCTAGACAGACTGGCTACCTGCACCGCCACCCCAAGCCAATCACCTTGTTTTCCCTGTTACCCCATGTGGCCTCGCCAAAGTTCTGTCACATATTCTAACGTACGCACTTGAGTGGAAATCAGAAGAAGCTATCTAAAAACTGTAAGCTAAGCAGCGGGTTCCACAAACAGGCTTTATAATGGCAAATATGGAGATTGTTCATACGAATCTCACTGCATTGTGTACTTTGTTAAAAATATATATTTTAAAAAAGAATCAGTAATGCTTGCCTCTTTGCCAAGCAGTACACCTTCGTCTAAATAAGCACAACTTCACCTGATTTCTCCCATTTGCACACAGACACTGAAAATCAACAGCTGCTGTACCAACTTAGTTGAACAGTGACCTGTTAGTAAACACGTAGCTAGGTCTTATTTGGTGTGAAGATCACAGCATAAAATGCTCTAAAATGGCTAGTACATTTACTGGGCAATAAATTCCACTGTTGTCAATTATTCTGATTTCTAGTACACGTGTGTAGAATTGCGGCCCATGACAAAATCCAGTATCTGATTATCAGCTGCCACTTGAGATTGCTGTGTTAACAAAACAAAACCAACAAAATAAAAATAGTATTGTATTTTTAAATACAATCTCCATGTTTGCCATTATAAAGCCTGTTTGTGGAACCCTCTGCTTAGCTTGCATTTTTAAATTCAGTACTGTACTGTATTGTTTGTGGCTGCAACCAGATTTAACCTGAATGTCAAAGAAGGAGGTGATGCAGCCCCATAATTTTGCAAGCATTAGTTGAAAAAAAAAACTACTTAAACACTTAGAACTAAAAAAGAAAGAAAGAAAAACAATGATCTGCCTGTTAACCATCTGAAAAACTTTTTAAACATTTCCATTATCTTTCAACACTAAAGCCATGAAAATAGAAATGTCAGATGCAGAGTGGCTAATCAATTTTTTTATAGCTTAGGAGGCATAAGTGAATGGATTTTCTATAGTGTTGTTCCTGATTATGTCTATGGGGGGGGAAATGTGGGGTTTTGCCTGAACATTTAAAACAGAGATGGTGTATTAACAAATCAATACTGGTAGCACATTTTACTCCACCTTGGACCAATGAAGCCAGAAAACCTTATGTTTGTTAAATTCTACATCCTGTCAGATAACCAAATGAGGTGTCTTCCTGATGAGGAGGGATGTGCAGGGAGAAATGGATGGGAGGAATTATTGATTTCTGTAGAACAAATATGCTCCCATGTTTATCACCTTTTATTTAAAAATAATTACAGGAATTTTGATTATGCCAAGAGTTCATTGTGGCTTTGGTTCAATATAATGCTGAATACATAATGCAGAAGAAAGCTGAGCTTTCATTTCTCTTCTTTAGCTTGCCAACAACATGAAAATACAATTAAAATATATAGTATTTTTCACAGCGTAGTATGATTGATTTAAAAAGTAGAGGGAACCTATGTTTCTTTCATTCATTAGCATATAAACCAGATGTTCCAACATGATATTATTATGCAGATTATGCATCTTTGCTTTAACCACTAGAAAGTCTCCCCAATCCACTTTTACAAAATACGAATTGAGCCTTCTCTCTTGAGGTATTAAGAAGAAACAGAGTTACACCAACTTAGGATGTGACTACACAGCAGGAAAAATGCAAATAGAGCCACTGTGAAGTCACAACCATAATTCACTTGAGTCAACTACACAGGCGTCAGGAAAGAGAAAGGAAAAAATTGGTTATCTGCCTTGTTTGCAGCTTGTTAAGGTAGCTCTGCAGTGTCCCTGTGGATTTGCGGAAGCAGGGCTACATCGGAAGTTTGCTAATAAGATGCCAAAAGCTACTATAATAAGCTGTCAAAGCTGCAAAGAGTTACCTCAACAAGCAATCTCCTCCCCACTCTCTGCTGACTCCTCACACTCCCCCCTGCCTTTGCTCTCCAGCTGACCTAGCATGTCAGTGCTTGCTCTAAGCCCTTTAAAAAAGTGATTTGGAGATGAGTGCTTGATTGATGGGAACTTTGCTTCCTTTCTCCCCATCTTGAACTAGGAAGCTTGGAAAGCCAGGTTTTGTTTGCTCATTCAGTATTGGTCCAAGCAACTGCATGGTCTGAACTGATGCAAATGCGTTCAATTGAAAAAATGACTTTCATGCCATATAATAAACAGTAAAGAATCTGAATCAGACCGCCTTGGTCCTGGACCACTTATTCCATTATCTTTCAGTGCAGCTGTTCCTTTACAAGAGAGAGAAAAGGAAAGAACAAAATTGTATTCCCTTGATTCACAAGCAGTGGTGTATGGTACTTTGGAGGCATATCAGGAATGTGTGGGGAGTGTGTTTATTTTATTTTTTAAAAGATCCCATATTACAGTATTTCATTTGGATAATGGAAAATTATAGCTATTATTTTTTAATTGAGCTAACCATCGTTACCATATGATGTGTATATTATTTCTTCCCTTCTGAATTATGCTGTAATGTAGCATTTGTTGTGTGCGCTTAATGACATTGTGTAGGCCACTTTAAGGATCCCCGCACCAAATCTCCACTCCCACACCAGGGTAACAAAAACTAATATCTAAAAAGATAATAATAAAATGCTGCTGTTACTCTGAGGGTGGAGAATGCCCACTCACCTCTTCCCCTGTCTTTGTCAATCCAAGTTACAACAACTTTTCACATTTCAAACACATACAGTGGTGCCTTGACTTACCAACTTAATCCATTCCAGAATGGTGTTCGTAGGTTGAACTGCTCGTAAGTTGAAGCACCATTTCCCATTGAAATGCATGGGAATGGGATTAATCTGTTTCAGCATTTCAAAAAAATACCAAATAAATAAATAAAGCACACAGAAAGCTCTATCGGAAGGCACTGGGGCTTAAAAAAAAAACAACCAAAAATAAACAAAGCAAGCCCCAAGGCTGCAAACAAACAAAGAAACAAAACAAAAATAAACATCAAGCAATCCCCATGCTGGGACTGACAAAAAAAATCACCCAAAACAAACAACAACACAGCACAGAAACATAACCCCCCTCAGCTGAAACCCACCCTGCAAAACCCACCCAGAAGTTTCTAAAAAGCAAAAAGCAGTGCCTTACCAGGCAGACCGAAGCCTCCTCCGATGGCACTCACTCCCTGGCGGCCGCCGGCCAGTGGTGTAGGCGGCCCTACTCGTGAGTAGACCCACTCCAGGGATGGGCAGGGAGCACACCAGCTTCCCGCACCCAGTGGTGAACCGGAGCCACCCCGCCTCTCCTTCCTCCTCCTGCACCACTGCCGCACGCTCCGGCCACAGAGCCCCTCCAACCGCAATGCCTTCCCCCGCCTCTCCTTCCTCCTCCTGCACCACCGCCGCACGCTCCGGCCACAGAGCCCCTCCGACCGCAACGCCTTCGGCGGCCCTTACTCATGAGTAGACCCACACCTTTGGTGGCCCTTACACACAAGTAGAATTGTGCCATTGATGGGCCTTACTCATTAGTAGACCTGCACCAGGGGTGGGCAGAGAGCGCACCAGCTTCCCGCACCCAGCGGTGCTGCAGAGGCCCCCCGCCTCTTCTTCCTCCTCCTGTGCCACAAGAGTAAAAAAGTTCCCTAACCCCCTGCTCTAATCATTGGGGCGAAAGAGCTACAAAGAAGCAGCCTCTTTGCCACCAACAGTTTGAATTTCCCCCTTTTCCTCCTGCCTTTTTCTGTTCTTATGTTGAAGACTCGCAAGTCGAAGAAAATTTTTGCGAGTGGAGCTGTTCATAAGTCGAAATGTTTGTAGGTAGGGGCGTTTGTAAGTCGGGGCACCACTGTATATCGGGGAATAAAGTATGAAGTTTGAAGGGGGCATGAAATGTTCATTTTATCAAAAGAGGCATGGGGGTAAAAAAGGAATAAAACCAGTGCTTTATCCTGTGCAACAAGGATATTAGAACATGTTCTCAGCAACAAGAGCTCCTCATTAAGTGGAAATTACAAGAGTAAATTTAAAATATTAAAATCCATCCATTTGTAATAGTGCACGATAATTCTTAAATGTTCTCCTTTTTACTATTTGATCTTACCACCAACTATTATTGAAAAGAAAATATCCATAAAATTGAGTATGATCCAACTGCAACGTATGCTATGCAAGTGCCACTGAAAGTCCTTGGAGACTTCCAGCTGAATGCATGGAGATTGGGGAGGTAGGAAGCAGGGCCACTAAGCATCATCACATCTCTTCTCTGCATGTTTAAAAAAAGAACTAAGAGGCAGGAGCTGCAGGCAAGAGTAGCACCCCTTCCCTTTCATCTCTGTGGCTGTTTAAATGGCACCCTGATTTCCTGATTTACCCAGGAATATGGGAGATTCACCTTTCCGCTGAAGTCTGAAACAATTCCTTCTCAGGTTGGCTGAGATTGTCCATCCCTTCCATTATCACCAGGCAATTTATGCACCTCGGGGATGGCAAATTAGATGGCTCCAGGGGCTAATTTTCGGCTCCTGGGACCACCAAAATCAGAGATCTCAGCAAACCCACTAAAAATACAAGCCCTCCTTCCAGTTTTGTTTCTTTTTTGCTTGTTGGTGATTAAACAGAACCTGCAGCCTAAAGAAGAACCAAAACTCCTGACAGATTCTAGAAGGGGCAATCCACATTTCCCCCAGAAGGGAGCGAGCCAGAGGTGCACCGGGAGTACAAAAACAGCCACGAGGACTGCATGCAGCCCCAGGGCTGCACTTTGCCCACCCTTGATGGAGATCAGCGGCATCACAAGATAGCACCTTAGGCCCATAAATAGGCCCAGCTAGACAGACAGCTACTGACCCTTAAAAAGGATTGTGCTCTCACCTTGGAACTGATTGACCTGTTGCACCGGATAAGGATTCCGCTGCTGTGGCTGCAGATGCTGCCGAGGTAAATGTGACTGCTGTTGTTGCTGCTGCTGATGCAAATGCTGCCAAGAGAAGAACAAAAGGAAAAGAGTCGGGAGAGAAGAAGAGCCTGGCAATTGTTCTGACATCAAATGGCAAAGCAAACACTGACATTGTTCCTTCTCTGGCAAGGTGTTCTTGAACGACAAGTGCCATTTGGAGTGTTTGGCAAGTGAGCGGTAAGTGGGCTTGTAGGTGATCAAGGACTCTTCTCGCTTGTCATACAGGCTGCTTTTGATTCCAAGCATTTCACGTCATTGCACATCAGCTCTCTCCCTCTTGGCTTCCCGAGAACAGTTACTACTTCTGCCAGGTCCAAGTAAAGGAAAGGGGCAAAATAGATGACGGAGGAACGGTTTTGTAACAAATCTCATTAGCCAAACTCCTGGAATTAGTCACATTGGCGTGAGAAGATAATTAAGCCCAGAGCTACAGATTGGTCAATTATTTAGTTCATTAGTTAAGTCTTAATGCAGCTGCGAGGCCACACTCATTTTGCTCATGTGGTTCTGTGGCTGCTTCTGTATGCACTGTTCCAAAAATGAAATAACATGCTATGGGAGAAGCATACAAATGCAAACATAAGAACAGCTCTCCCCAACCTTGGTGGGGATGATGGGAGTTATGCTCCAATCCATCTAAAAGAATTGGGAGGGGAATGTGTTACAAGTGGAACAGGGGGAGGAGGTTTACTTATGTGACTGTGCACATTTTGTTTTATTGAATTTCTGGACCTCTTTCAGAAAGAAGCCATGCTGCTTATATACTGCCCCATAGTGCTTAAAGCACACTCTGGGTGGTTTACAAGTTAATTATGCAGGCTTCACAAATGAAGTTAAAGCCAGTTTCATAACATAAGGAATTAGCCTGGTTCCCTTGCCATGCCTCAAACAAAATATTCCCAATCTTAGAGGTCCAGGAGATACATAAATATCCTAATCAAAGGCTAACACTTTATACTGCCTGACTATTCCTTTCTTCAACAATCTTTATACTCTCCTGAAATGGATTTCCCATTTTTGGAGAGAAATTGCAAGGAGGGGGTGGAGTAGGAGGGGTACAGACCTAATAAATCGATAAGAAGTTGGTGCAAACAATGTATGAAACATCATCCACATGTTTTTGGCAATTCATACAATATGGACACTGTCCCAGAATAGCAAACGGTTGTGCTGGAATTAAATTCCACTATTTTTAATTTTAACCCATTCACATCAGTGGAATTTAAGTTAGTCATGGCTGAAAATACAATGATTTCAGTGTGTCTGCTCAGTGTGATGACTGGGTCCAGCCAGTTGTTCCATATACTGTATTAATTAATACACAGATCACAAAAACAAAATTCACTTATTCAGACACAACATATACCGGTATTTTTCCATAGTGGCTTCTTGCTTTTCCTGCTTTAGCTTTCATTCTTAATACTAACTTAGGGTAGATCAAAACACTAGGTGATTTGGGAAACACCTGCTCGTCCCCAACACACACCTTTTAATGTAAATTATCATAGCTTGTTTTCATCAATAACCCGAATTTTTTCTTAACTACGGTAATTTTAGGATAAACACATAAGACAGCAGTCTTCCTGCTGCTGTTGCCCTAGTTCCCCTGTGGTTGAACAATGACATGAACATAGCTGGCCCAACACGTTTTGCTACCTCAGAGATCCAGTAGCACCTGGTGCCATTGTGGTTGCTGCAACAAAAGAATTAGCAGGCAGTTATGAGTGGAGCCAGATGTGAACCAGGACAGTACATAGACCAGGTTGCGAAAGTGAATATTCATGAACAGAGATTCACTCTTCTATTCACTTACTCACATTCTTTCTCTTTTTCTTTCTCTAACCCCCTGCCTGCCCACCCACCCCCTCACAAAGACCATGAGTCTGGGAATGCATTAGGAGGGGAACCCAGGTGAGGCTCTGACTGTGACAAATAGGCAGGCAGGGTGAGCTGGCTGGCCAGAGCCAACACTTGAGGCAAACAGTGCGCCATTTGTACAGATGGACCAGCCATTATTGCCTGAGGCAGAACAGCACATACAAAGCCCGTCTCTGCCCAATGAAGGTATCCAGTACGCGAGGCTTGCCAAATGGTTTAAACCCCTAAGATTGAAAATCCCATTGGCAACTCTTCTCAGAAAAAAAAGTACAGTAACCATAAATTAAATAGCAATCTATGCCCTTTCACGACTGTCCACACCAGCTTCATGAGACAGCCACCTCACTCCACCTTACGGAAAGGCTGGCACTTCACCAAGCTTGCCAGGATTGGAAGGTAAGTACAAAGGGTATAGAAACGATGCTGGTATGATTCTTTCTTTCTCTTAACTCCCAAGTGGCCCAATCCTAATTTTTTGTAGCTCTGTGTGAAAAAGTCACAGAAAGAATAACAGTCATGTAGACCTTGTTATATAAGCAAGCAACTGATATTCCATGTTGAATGAAACAAGAGCACTTACTATAGAAACACTGTCATATTGTCTTACAGGCAAGCATAAGAAAAAGGGAGAGGATTGTAGATGTGTTTCAAGCATGCATTCTGTTTTCTCCTTTGGGATGCCCTTAAGTACCAAAGCAATTGGCTGCTATCCCAATTACACTAGTAATTAGTTTTATCATTTCTATTGCCCTTTAAAGTGGTTTGCAGTCCTTATCTTGTTCATCCCTACAGTGGGCTTGTGATGAAGACAGAGGGAGCATGGAGAGCAAAGTAAGAGATAAATGACTTTTCCAAACCAGGCAAACAATCAATAGCCTACTGAGTGAGTTTTGAAGACAGATGTTCTAGACCATTCCTTAGAAACTGCCAGGGTCTTGGCAGACCACTTAATAAACTTTATTTTGTTCTATAAATCAAAGCATGCATAAAATGCACATCTTAATAACATCCCTCCTCCATCAACATCAGCATAATCATCAAAAACAATGTCAGGCCCCCAGCCTAACTGTTGAGAAAGGTCCCTTTAACAGATAAATTATTGCCCTTTAAAGTGGTTTGCAGTCCTTATCTTGTTCATCCCTACAGTGGGCTTGTGATGAAGACAGAGGGAGCATGGAGAGCAAAGTAAGAGATAAATGACTTTTCCAAACCAGGCAAACAATCAATAGCCTACTGAGTGAGTTTTGAAGACAGATGTTCTAGACCACCAGCATTCCTTGGAAACTGCCAGGGTCTTGGCAGACCACTTAATAAACTTTATTTTGTTCTATAAATCAAAGCATGCATAAAATGCACATCTTAATAACATCCCTCCTCCATCAACATCAGCATAATCATCAAAAACAATGTCAGGCCCCCAGCCTAACTGTTGAGAAAGGTCCCTTTAACAGATAAATTGGGCAAAAAAAAAAAAGTGGACTGAAGTAGTGTAACATTATGAAATTTATGGGTTTCAAGCTACAGCCTTATCTGCCTGTCCAGTAACCAAAATGGCTTCCATCTCTGTGGTTAGAAAAAAAGTAAGTTCAGAACTAAGAGTAGATATTCTCAACCGCTATCCAGCCTTTCTGAAGATCACCAGAATTGAGCTTCTGGATCACAGTGTGGGAACAGATCCAAGACTGAAATGGGATTGTGAGAATTATAGTTTGGAAAAAAATGGGTTGGTCATTATTATTATAGGATATCCAAGATTTTTTTGCCTCCCCTGTTCATTTTTCCCTGTCAATGTTGGGAAGTCATTGAAGACACTGAACAAAAGGATACAATACCTGTTCTGCCAGGATTTGCTGCTGCTGCCGTTGCTCCCGTAACAGAAACTGTTGCTTCTGCTGCTCCATCATATGGAGCTGTGCCCTTTGCTCAATCAGCATCTGTTTCATAATGGCTGCTTGAGGCTGGTTGTTCAAGAAACTGGCACTCCCAGGGCTTGTCCCCACATTACTGGATCCAGGTGGCACAGAGGACTGCATGGGGCCTGTAGACCGAGACAATCCCACAGCATGCTGGTCCTAGACAATGAAACAGACAAAGTTGCATATAAATCATTTTTTCCCTTTCCATCATATACGAGGTAACAAAAAAAAAGAGGGAACCAAACAATAAATTTAAAAAAAAACATATAAAAAGCCAGAACCTGAAGAGTCAGATATACCATGGTTACATTGGAATAAAAAAACTCTCACCTGGCAACCAAATGGAGGGGAGCTTCCACGGAAGAAACAGCTCACAGAATTAATGGGGAGAAGTTGGTCTCAACCCCAAATTTCTATGGAAACTCCCAGATGCAATTCATGACCTGCCTATGATCTGGTGACAAGGAGTTCCAAAGTCTTGCTGTAAAAATAGGAGAAATCCCTCTTCTACATACACCAGCTGAATTTCTGGTGGTAGGAGGACATGGAAGAAAGCCTTTCCCTAAATGTGAAGAGATGCACAGCATTATGTGAACATAGAAGAACGTAAGAAGAGCCCTGCTGGATCAGGCCAAGGGCTCATCTAGTCCAGCTTCTTGTATCTCACAGTGGCCCCACCAGTGGCCTCTGGGAGCACATGAGACAACTAGATACCTGTCTTCTGATACCCCTCCCTTGCATCTGGCATTTTGAGGTACCTTCCTTTTAACCCTGGAGATTATACATCCCCATCATGGCTTGTAACCTGTGATGGACTTTTCCTCCAGAAATCTGGCCAATCCCCTTTTAAGGGCATCTAGGCCAGATGCCATCATCACATCCTATGGCAACGAGTTCCACAGACTAACAACATGCTGGGAAAAGAAAGATCTACACAATTTGAGTGGATGTCCCCTGGTTCTGGTATTATGTGAGAGGGAAAAGAGCTCTCCTCTATCCACTTTATCCATCCCTTGCATAATTGTATACATCTCAATCATGTCCCTCTTCAGGCAAAGAGCTTCCCTCTATCCACTTTATCCATCCCTTGCATAACTGTATACAGTACATCTCAATCATGTCCCTCTTCAGGAACCTTTTCTCTTGGCTAAAGAGCCCCAAACACTATAGCCTTTCCTCATAAAGGAGGTACCCCAGCCCAGTCAGAATTTTAGTTGCTCTCTTCTGTACCTTTTCCAGTCCATTATGTCTTTTTTGAGGTGCGGTGACCAGAACTGTACACAATACTCCAGGTGTGGCCTTGCCAGCACTTTGTACAATGGCATTATCATGTTGGCTGTTTTATTTTCAATCCTCTTTTTAGTGATACCTAGCATGGAATTGGCCTACTTCACTGCCGATGCACACTTAGCTGACACTTTCATTGAGAAGGCACTAGCACACCAACATCTCTTTCCTGATCTGTCACGGATAGCTCAGAACCCATCATGTGATAAATAAATTTTTTGGGTTTTTTTTTGCCACAATGTGCATTACTTTACATTTTCCTATACTGAAACACATTTGCCATCTTGCCACCTATTCTCCTAGTTTGGAGAGATCCTTCTGGAGTTCTTCACAATCCCTTCTGGTCTTTACCAGAAGGACCTCATACCTGAACTGTTTAAGATTTTGATTAAAATTTTATTTGCTGTTTTAAAAAATAATTTCTTTCAAAAATGTATTTTATTATACTTTTCTTGGGGAGTAGAGACATGGAAAGGCAGCTAATGATTATTAATCATCATTATCAGCACCACCACCATCACCACAGCATGTGGAGTTTGGCAGAATGAAGAGGGTGCTGTCAAGGGCTGAGCACCTGGCTAGATGTTATATTCACTACAGGGATTAGTGTCTGCATGGTGAGTTTCTCAACAACCTTCTGTATTATTTAAAACAATCTTCTTCATGCATGGGGAGGTCATCATGCTGTGTGCTTCCTTGCTTGTGAACCGCCCCAGTGGTGTCTACTTGTGGGAGGAAGACATTTATGGCATGATAGCCCAGCTCACAAAGGAAGTTGCTCACAGCCAGGGTTTGGGAAACCAGATAAGCATTTGCCAATGGCTTTGTTGAGATGACTGCATGTGAAGTGTAATAGTATATGTAGCCTTTTATAGTAGCAGAGAAAGGGTGGGAGAGAGAAGCACAGTGTGCATTTAGAGGAGGAGGAGGAGGCTCAAGATGATCACAGAGCTGTGGGGGGTAGAGAAGCATAGGCACCTGGAAGTCCACGGAAGACTTTATTTGATCACTAAGGCTGGAGTGCCCAGGATGACTAACCTACTTGCTTATATTCTTTCTGACACTATAGTTAATGGGGTGGGATGAGGAATGACACTGTACAGATGAACCCTTAGAACAAAATTGGTAGGTTATTCTCTTGAATTTGAGAGAGGGAAAGGGAACAATATATAAAGAGAGGTAGTGGATAGAGTGATGGACAGGAATCTTAAGAACAGGGTTCAAATCCCCACTCAGACAAGGAAACTCACTGGGGGAGTGAAACTGGTAAATCCACTCCTTAAATATTTCACTTACTAGGAGGGCCCTATTAGGATAGCTTTGAGTTGGTTCTGACTTGATGGCATACAACACACACGCAATGCCCAGGGACTGAGCTCCCAGCCCAGCCCAGTTATTTATTGCAACAGAAGGTGATTCACATCCCCCTTCTGTTCAGTACATGTTATTTCTATGATCACAGGTGAGGTCAATGAATCCATTTTATTCTAGTCACAGTCAATGAGGTGGCTAGAATATCATAGTTCTGCTGCATAAAAACAACCCATGTGGCATCTTCACCATTTCAGGACAAAGAGAAGGGTTAAGAGATGGTACTCGAATCCCTTCATGTCAGCCTGCTGCCTCTTAGCACACTTATTCCTTTTGTGTTCATATAATCAGGATAATTAAAGAAAATCAACCAAAAGTAGATTGTTTTTTTTTTATTTCAAAGAGATGTAAGGAGTGCAAAACTTAATCCACATAAGTGAATTAATGATGAGAATAAGCACATGAAATTTACTGTGAATTAAAGAGGATGTTCTTGTGAACAGGGATATCATCCCACCTACTTCCCAAGTCTTTCATGCATACTTCCCAGTGACGCAAACGTTTGGTCAGGGGACTTGAGAGAGGAGGAAAGAAATCTTGCCAGCCCTGGGCTTGGACCAATGGCAATTGTTATGCAGGAGAGGCGGTGTGCCAGGAATCCTCCCAGGAGGTGAACACTTAATTATGAACAGCCTGGAGCAAGGAGGGAGGAGCACCTAGTGAGAGGGATGTACCTTTTAGAGAAACACGGTCTGCGATCTCCCTCCCCCTCCCCAGGTTCCGGCATAAACTGGAGAGGCAACCTTTGCAGCTAATAAGGCCCCAAGCACCAGCAAAATCTCCTTTAAGCTCTGAGCAGAGGCCGTACAAGCTGCACAGGATGTCGGGGGTGTTTCTAGCCTCTCTTTATAAATCCACCCACGTCTTAATAGTCCAGAAGGCAGCCTCTCTGGTTTAAGCAGCAGGTGTGTGACGAACACCAGGGTGTTGTTTCCCCTGCGCGACAGCAGGTGGCGTCACGAGCCCAGGCCTTCCTACCTCTGTCAGCTTGGGCTGGTAGTGACTGATTGCTGCCCTGGGTGCCCTCCCTCCTCCCTCCTCTCCGCCCTCCCCCATGCTTGCAGATGGCTTAATCATGACTACTGTTCCCTCCCCCTCCTTCCCCACCTCCTCCTCCTCCCTCCTCTCCCCCCCTCCCCCAGTACTTCTGGGATAATGCCGCTAACGTCGAGCTAGGCAGTCAAGTGTTACAGCACAGAGCAGGTAGCCTGGCAACTGAGAGTATAATACCGAACAGATGGTGTTCGTACAGCATGATGGACATCACACACGACAGCCTGAGACAATCCAGGAATTCCCGGGTGGTTTGAGGCCCCTTGTTTTACTCTCTCTCTCTCTCTCTCACACACACACACACACACACATAGACACACAAACACACAGCCAAACGAGCTTGCTGGCTGCTTGGGGGATATTTTCCACCCTCTCCCTCCCTTTCAATCTGACACGGAGCTACTAAACTGATTTCTTGTTTCTTCTGTTTTGCTAACTGCACTAAAAGGGGGCAGCAGTCGGGTGGCGTGTGAGGTGACAGGAGGAGGAGGGTTAAGCTCAGGCGGTTGTGAATTAATAAAATGCTATACTAGACATGAGAACAGAGCCTCTTGACAAAAAAAAAAACCTTCTCAGCTGCCAATATGTGGCCTTCCTCAGGGGAGAATCTTTTTTTTGGGGGGGAGACCCCTGTGGTGGCAGCTATATCAAATATAAAGCTTCCCTCATATAAGAGGGGTGGCATGAGATGGAACCCGCAGTTTTCCAACTGTTCTCAGATCAGCCCCAGGTCGCAGGTTCAGTGTTTGGGGGATGATAATTCATGTAGTCCAAGAGCACCTGGAGATGCACAAGTGCTCTGTACCTGTCATTCAGAATCAGTGGAGGCTGGTGCCCATTGTGGTTGGTGGAGTAGACAATGGTGGGTGTAGAGGCAGAATCAGGAGCATACATGGGTGCTCATTCATACATGCATGTATGCATGCATGCATGCACACACACCGTCTCAGAAGTAAGCAAGCAAGCTCTCATCTAACTCCCACACAGAGGCAGACAGAAAGGGCATTAGCTCAGACACTGTCTCGCCTCCCTGCTATTCATCCACTCCTTTACTTGGCCAAGCAGCAGAAAAATACACCTTGCCCTTGTATTAGAAATGCTCCTACCGGCTGCTGCTTCCCTTTGTTCCTGATGTCATAGCCAGGAAATGACGATTCACCCACCTTAATTTTCTTATTCTCTCCCCACAGGCATTCAGAGAGAGTGATGAGGCTGGGAGTTCACCAGGAGGAGTATCCTAGTCCAGAGGAAGATGGAAATGGGCTAATGAGGAGGAGACAACTAGCACTTTAACAGGCTTCAAAATATGAAGGATTGTTTGGGAGGGTTGTGTCAAGGTGAGAGTCCGGGTTATTTATTCCCGTGCTGTTATTATGTACGGCAGAAGGTGTTTTGAGAATAACACAAAACCAACCATACAAACAATATTTTTTTTCTTGCTTTAG